GTCGGGATGTCTAAGACTAGTACAGTTCAATGACAGTACCTGGACTACGATGCGATGCAGTGCGGTGGATGGTTCACTGCGCCTACACCATGCTGTACAGTACAGTGCGTGTAGTCTGGTCCTGCTGTACTCAAGTATAACTCACCCACTCATTTACTCAGGATTCAATGGTAAATTTATGTAAATTATCAGAACTTGCAGAAAAAAAAAGGCCAATGGTGTATCATACAAACTATACAGCAAGAAGGAAGAATCAGAAGCAAAAGAGGGAAAAAGGGTGGGAAAGAGGTAGGAAAGAAAAAAAAATAGCAACCGCCCTTACACACAAAGAAAGCCAAAACGCCCTTCCATTCCGACCCAGTTGTCGACTGACCTCGCATGCGATGCGAACATGCGAAAATGAGGAAACGGAAATGTAAAAAAAAAAGAATTTACCGACCGAAGGCCGAGAGATGAAAAGCGACGGAGGGAGGGGGAGGATGCGCGAAAAACCGACGAGAGCAAGTGACTGATTGACGGAACAAAAGAACGAACGAACGACTTAGAGCTCCGATGTCCTCCTTCTGCTTGTTTTTTGTGTTTTGTGTTTTGTTTTTTCACCAATATTTTATCCTTGTCTTTCGAATATCCTCTATTGGTTCGTTTTCTCGCTCGCCTGCTCACACCCATCATCTCCCATGGCTCTTCTACTGTTGTTGTCGCTGTCTCAAAAAAGGGGAATACGTTTGCGAAGAAAGGGTATTTGAGGCTCGATAAAGAGATATTTGGTAGATAGGGAAATGAGATTTAGTAAAGGATTGGCGAATTATTTCACTGTTATAGTTGACCCTTGATATCAACCTTACTAAACGCAGCTTTTTTTGCTCGTTCGAAGAGTGGGAGTGCTTTCGCTGTCTGGAAGCGGATCGAGTTGGGAACCCCCTTATCACCCGACTTCTGCTCAATCAGATCCGCAGCCTCGTTTTCGCAGAGAAAGTTGACGCAGTCGGTATCGCTCTCAAACCCGAGCTCCTCAGTCAAAAATCTAATATCAATATCGGGGCGGTAACTTTGATATAAGGCAGGAAGCATCGTCCAGATATTAGTGGTTTTCTTCCAGAAAAGAATTATCAGAAAGTGACAAATTGGTTTTCTCACCCTTTACATATCATGCACATAGCAGCCTTTCTCTCGCGGGCCACGAAGGAATCCATGAGGTATCCTCCCATGGCTGGTGCCTCCAAATAAAGTCTGAAAAATCTGTGAAAATTTCCAGCAGCTAGCACTGAACGGACCTCTAGTGCATGCTTAATGGCTTTTACTTCTTTGTCTGCAGGGGTTAAATTTGCTAAGAGCTCGTTCATGTCGGCCCGATTGCATGTGTGAATAAGGTAGAGAATACGATACGCCTTGAATTCCTCCTCATGACCTTTAAAGCCTTCACGATAAAGCGAATGGAGCTGGGTCTGACACTGATTATACTCACCCAAGTCACCCTATAATCAATAATTACTTAGTTCGAATATCTTATATGAAACTACCAACTGACTCCATACCTTTTCCAAAGCTATCCGCGCATGAATTTCGTAAACGGTAACAACAAAGTCGTTTTTGATGTGCTGAACTGTTAGGTCTTGTCGAAGTGACTTGAACTGGTCGCAAATATATGAATAGTTTGCTTCTGATCTCCATTTGCGCTTGAGCATTTCCAGAGTCTTCTCAAGCACATGTAATGGGCGCACATGATCTGGGTTGGGGGCTGAAGTAAGACGAAAATATCGTTTCTCTAAATCCATGCAACGACCAATCAAGGGCTTCTTGTTATCTGGAACTTCCGGGGTGGCCGAGTCGGGCAAATATTCACGCCTTTCATCCTCAAACCGTTTCGCACGCTTATCCTTTTCACGTTGACTTAGTTTACCCGATGTTGGGAGGAATTTGTCACCCTGACGAGGTCGCTTGTCAAACCTCTCTTCGAATCTGTCTGGGGTTGGGGGTGTTAATTCTTCACTAGAGCCGGCACTAAAGCGCGCTGGTCAGCAAAGAAAAGCTGTGAAATACTCGGGACATGAGGGCGTTCACCTTTTGCGCTTTCTTCCAGGATAGTCCACGTCCATGACATTACTGTAATTAGGCTTTCGGATGAAGGGGGAAGCTGGAGACGCCTTGGTTTCGTTACTGACTCGATTCATAGAAAGTGTCTTTGTTGTTTGCTCCTCCTTTGCAGTCACCTTCTTCCTTGCTAGTATTGTTTGTGGAAGCGGCATCTTATCCCATTCCAAACTCCAAACAACCTTCTCATTAAAGGCATCTGTAATTATTCTCTTGAGCTCTAACTCGACAGCAGCCTTCTCGTCCGGTGGGCAATCTTCGAAAGTTCGGGCAACATAATCCTTCAACTTGTCTGGGAACTGAGTCTTTGGAGTTTGTTCAGGGGCTGGGTTTTGAGTAAGAGTCTGATTTGCGTATATTAGCATTTTCTCTGCGAAGAAAGCTCTACAACGAGAGCAAGTAAATATAAGTTAAGGCAGTTATGTACCTGAGTGCCGTCATGGTGAATGGGGCGACCAGAGAGTGTCTTGCGAGAATTAACAGAGTGAAACGCACCATTTCCTAATCGAAGCCGCATCGCATTAGTTCGGTGATCGGGCGGTGAAAATACCAATAAGTGTGAAGGGTTTGGACAGGCTGTTCGGAGTTTTGTTGCTCGGGGAACAAGAAAAATAATACTCACGATTGTTTCCGTTAGTACCACCTGATCGCCATGGTGGTGCAGACATGGTGTCAATGTTTTATGTTTGTCGATTATTTGGGGATGGCAGTTTGGAAAGGAGAACGGGATGGGATGGTTAATTAGACGGATACTGCTGTATTATGACAAATTAGTGAAATCAAGCTGGCTGACCCTGTGAGAAAGCAACTTTAGGTTGGGAGGTCGTGTCGATGGCAGAAAGTGTGCGAGAGGATGATGAAGGCGAGAAGGAGGAGGCAGGTGCGAAAGCTACTAACAGAACTCCGGTTGGTGCCAAGAGTGCGCGAAGGGTTGTGTGGGAGAGAAGGATAAGCTACTCGCACCATGGCGTATTCGCAGTCATTGCCATTCAGCCCCGAGAGACAAAACCATTGTAATACCCTGCTATCAGATCAGGTCCTTGCCCACCAATGGAACAAATTTATGGTAGTCTATAGATTGGGCACTATCATGGAGCCCCCGAAGTTCTTCAACCACAATGTGTTTCCTCCACTTTATTCTTGATTCTGTTGCTTCAACAATCCCATTTTCCCTGTTAAGGTGTTCTAAATCGATCAATTTGCCAAGCCCTAGGCTGCTAAGTCGTGACAAGTCACGCGCCGGCCCAAAGCATCCCAGACTAATACCTTTGCACAATTTACTGTACTAATTCCCCCCGGCATCATAGTATTATCTGGGAATCACAGGTCACCGTGGACACTAGTACCGTATTCGAGAAATAATTCAGACTCAGAATCCCAAAATTTTCGAGTATTGGATCCGGGAGCACCTTGGTGAGATGATCTGTGTACGCCCATATCATGATGGTGATCGTGCGTAAAGTGTAAAGCTGTCAAGAACGTAGGTGGCCACTGCATATATGTGTGTGGACACCTATAGGACGTGTGTACTCGAGCAGTGGGCATTGATTATTTACTTGAGTATTTAAAGCCGATCTTTCTCCATAGCTCTTATCAACAAGAACCCCCTCATCGGCACCTTTCAGGAGGAGTCTCCTTCAATGCTTGAACAAGTAGACTACTGCCGGGATGGATATCTTACTCGTACGGCAGCTGGGCGAGATACCGGCAAGGTTGCGAGCCGTATGAATGACTCAGCGCTTTTCTCTCAGATTAAGTACAATTACCGGTATCATGGCCACGGTATCGTACCGTATCTTCTCCATGGGAGGCATTGGTGCTCGCTACCATGTCGTGCTCGACACCCTAACGACGCGAGCAGTCTATGGTACCAGTATGATGCGGGTACGATACCTTTAACTTGAGGTAAAGGATGTGTAAGTACGGTAGGTTATAGAAAATGTCTCAGATGCAAAAAATCTTGCTATTTATCAACAAAAGGCCAGAGGTTGGGTTGCATGGATCTGGGTAGAGATGGTGGAAAATTGCTCTTCTAGTATCCAATACTTTCCTTTGGTCTTCCATATTTTTGCTTCATGTATTATTTGTCAAGAGTCTGAGCTTGATATGATAAATTTCTGCTCCGTGGACATTATGGACCTTTGAACCTTTTTACAAGTTACTAAGTGGTTAATTTAGGCTAACCTGCAAAAATAGACCGTGTCTTGAATCATACGAAAACATCCCTCCGGCTACTTGTTGTACTCGAGCACAGCAGAGGCCTCAGGATTATGATAAAAGGATTATCTTCCAGTTACAAGTAAACACCGTGAGTTGCATTATGTAGTAGGTCACTTTATTATGTTTGCCAATAGCATTCCTGCCCCTCTAGTACTTGTAGCATATTTGAGTTCGCCAATATATCATAACTAGAGGTAAAGTGCCGAGCAGATCCTAAAGATACGAAAAAATAGGAATATTCATCAATGAGGTGTCAAAACCAAGTAACCTTTTTATAGAGATAGTAGATAATTGCTTTTGATGTGGGTCGTAATCTCCTAATATTTTTTCTTGGGTTTTCTTTTCCACTCGTATAACACTTCTGAGTTCTGGTAGGGTTCTGTCATCAGAAGCCTATGACCCTTATATATGGTACCTCTTGACCCCATGATGTCGACAGGTCCTTTGGTTTTCCGGTCCTTTTTGGTTTTGAAAATAGTTCAGGTATTCAGCACCACACCAAGTCATAGATATTAGAAAACCCGGGGATTGTGAAAATGACCTGAAAACCGACATTTGAAACTTCACCTCCCGAGGTAATTTTTGAGCCCCCCTCCCCAACAGATGTATTAGTGTACGGGCTAATTGTGGGTGCAAGAAGAGATTTTTTTACAATTAGGTTACAGAACACCCAAATACAAGTACTCGAATACCGGTACAGGACCTCCCAGAATACACAGTCCCCGCTGATTGGCTTGTGCTTATATCATACAGGAACAATCGGTTGTGATTACCAATACCCGACAAACCAGCAACGAGTGACTGCTGTTGGGCGGGTGTGTCGGATCGATATATCCGTCACGTGCCTTATCTAGGCACGCTGCAACACCAAATTCCTTTTATCAGGATCCACGTGACGGACATTTCGGCCGCACTTTGTATAGTACGGTACTGTATTCTGGTGTGGTCTGTTCCGGTTAGTCTACTCGTACAGATTTTCGGATCCCGTGATCCACCACAAGATGGGAGGGTTGCTGCAGACCAAAGGTAGGTTGGGGGAACCTTGGCATCTCGGCCGAAAATCCGCCTGTATGGGAAGTCCGGAGCCGGCCACAAACGCCATGCCTCGGTCTACGGTACCGTATTTACTCTGTTAATTCGCTAGCGCCTGCTGGTCGCTAATCTCTGGTTTCAGGACAAAGGTTCTTAAGAAGGATTAGCGTTTTCTTAACATAGTAAGGCATGAGTCATCTGGCTGTGTTGGATCCCATTAACTGGCTTGCGCAATTCTATTAACTTGTAAAACTAAACCAATCTTGGGCGATCTCGTGATATGCAAGGATATTCTACACTAGCGAATCGACAGAGTAAGTACGGTACTCGAGTACCGGTAGTGCCTCGCCTTTGATCTTTTTCGCAATGGCCCCAAAAGTTTCACGTTCTATTCATGCTGGATCCTACATAAAACCGAGCCTCCCACAGTCTAAAACCCACTCCGCCTGTTTTTAGATTTCGCAAAATCCTATCCTGAGGTGTTAGGGCAGTCATAACCTCGAACTCCTGCGCATCTCATAATGGCGCCAAGTGAGTTCTCCAATGATACGCGATGAGTAATCCTGGCATTACATGTACTGACATCTGCTCTCAGAAATCCAAACCGATCTCACCGAGCTCTTCGGCATCGAGCATCCGGTTCTCTTGGCTGGAATGAACGTTGCTGCTGGTCCTAAGCTTGCCGCTGCCGTTACAAATGCTGGTGGTCTCGGTGTTATTGGTGGCCTTGGGTACTCACCAGAAATGCTGAGGGAACAAATTGCCGATCTCAAGAGTTACTTGAACGACAAGAATGCTCCTTTTGGTGTCGACCTTTTGATCCCACAAGTTGGTGGTGGTGCTAGAGCTACCAACTATGATTATACCAAGGGTAAATTGGATGAACTTATCGATATCATTATCGAGAGCAAGGCAAAGCTTTTTGTCAGTGCTGTCGGTGTCCCACCAAAGGCTGTTGTTGAGAAGCTCCACAAGGCTGGTATTGCATATATGAAGTAAGTGTTCATCCCACATTTTGAAACTTCATCGATGCAAAACCGTAACGATTTAATCAGCATGATTGGACACCCTAAGCACATCCAAAAGGCTCTTGACGCCGGTGTCGATATCATCTGTGCACAAGGTGGTGAGGGAGGAGGCCACACTGGCGTTGTTCCTACATCTATTCTCATACCCACTGTCGTCGACATGGTTAAGGGCAAGAAGTCACCCCTTAATGGTCTACCCGTTACTGTGGTAGCTTCTGGTGGTATCTACAACGGAAAATCGCTTGCGGCATCTTTGATGATGGGTGCCAGCGCTGTGTGGGTTGGAACACGATTCATTCTTGCTGAGGAGGCTAGTGCGCCCAAGGCCCACCAGGAGGCCGTAAGAACCGCCGGCTTTGATGACACTGTTAGAACCATAATCTTCACTGTATTCCCCCCACCATCCTGCCCGTTCATGGCGTGTACTAGCCTGCCTTTAGGGTCGCCCTCTTCGTGTCCGCAAGAACCCGTATATTGCCAACTGGGAGGAGAACCGCAAGTCAGAGATCAAGGAACTCACAAGTAAGGGAATCATCCCTGCCGAGCACGATATCGAACAACTCGATAAGATGGGCAATCTTGACGACGACACCATGGATAACGCTAGACCATTCTTGATGGGTAAGGTTGCCGCCGTCGTCAACGACAAGAAGCCTGCCAAGCAAATTGTCGACGAGATTGTTGATGAGGCTGTTGAAATGTTACAGAATGCCCAGAAGATGCTTGCCAAGTTGTGAGATGTTTCTGGAGTCTTGTGGGGTTATGTCTGTTAACGGGATTTTTGATTCTTCCCTTTTTTTTCTCTATTCCAGCGTGTATCGTACCTTTTTACTGGCTACCCACTTAAATACGATCTCCGGGGGCGTCTGAAACCGCTGTGGCCAAAATGTAAATTGTTCCCGTGGGGGTCCTCATGCGTGTACTAGTGAGACTACTCGATTCCTTGCAGTGCGCAAGATTCTCTCAAGTGCCTGCCGATACTGCAGTTCCAAGTACCGTGTTTCTTTTCGCAAGTTACCAAGTGCAATCTTCAACACAAGCCCTTGTATGGGGCCATGAGGTGCAGCATGGTTCGACAGGAGCAGTGGTATGATACAAGTATGGCATCACACATAACAAATTTTAGCAGCGCCATATCGTGCTGTGTGTCTACCCATGCTGTGCGGTATTCTCGTACTTCCTATCCATCGGTTTGCATCTTATCAACGGTGTCATACGTCGCCCCCCTTCCAATGCAGGAGCCACCGTTCCAGGCCACCGTTCCAGGCCACCGCGGCTTTTCTCGAACCAGCGGCTAATGTGGCGAGGGACATGTGCAGCAGTAACAGGCAGATATTAATAATTCTCGTTTAGTAATAGTATGTTAATTTCCCGAGCGTGATCTATATACAGGTTATTACCCTGGAAAATGCCTAGTAACTGGTTTTGCCAAGGAAATTAACAGAAATTTACATGTCTCGGACATTCCTTTATCATACTGAATTTTTGGCCTACTTCCAAACACTAATATCCCCATGAAACTTGAGATATTCCTATTTTCTCTCTACTAGTGTCTAGAGAATCATCCACTCTGTCATCTATCTAATAGAGCCATAATTCTCATTGGAGTCGTGGTTGAACATCCTTTGGAGGTTGAAGTTGCGCAATACCGGTATTTTCTTGGCAAAGCACCGATACTCCGGCTTCTGATGTCAAGAGCTGGAGATTGAACGGCAGCATAGTTATCCGGGACGTTCCACGGACGCTTAAGAGACTCTTAGACGTTAGAAGCAAGCCCGAAGTTACTGTAGCGATTACAATAAGACCCTTCGGGATTGTTGCAAAACTGGGGGGCTGACTCGTCACATGAGATCCCTTATGATAAGATCTCTTGCGTTATCATTTTTTGTTTATCCCCTACGGTAATGTCTTCGGATCGGGCCGTTGGAGGTGACCTTTACTCGCACAGGGGCACTGATTACAGCACCGGGGTGCATGTTTTGCTTGCTATTGTATGAGGATTGGTGTTGCGCTTTGGATACATGATAGTACGGAGTACTGTACGTTAACTATATTTGCCACAGCTAAGGCTCCCCGTGATGTTCTGTTACTAAATGCTATTTGGAAGCCACCACAATACCAAATTCAGGGTTTAATCGCTAGATGGGCTAATAATATTATGATAATATCATAATCAATAGGGTTTGGAAACAAGGGAGGGTCGATAGTCTAACCTTAACCTGGAGGGCCATCGTTCTGACGAGGAAGTCGCCACAGAGACGGTGGCACGTGATTAGAAGCTGGTTGCCCAGAGCCACATAGAAACGTAAACACGAGACCGGAAACGAGCAAAATACACAACAGCATCGGCGGGAAAAAAAAAAGGAAAAAGCAATCTACCTCCCATCACCAAAAAAGTAACCTATCAATCCCCTGAAAACCAACGACCGCCTCCATCGCTCGAGACGCTGTATTTTCTCGAGCCTGTATTACGTCCGGGGTTTATCCTATAATTCGTCGGGTGTGGAATACTTGCAGTACCTCCTATCTACGGCTCTCACTCTCTCGACCGTATTACCCTCTCAGCAACCTCCCGATACCCTGTCCTGCCTCCCGTTAGCTGTACTCGTACTGTACCCCCCCGGCCTTGGCTTTTCGCGCGATTTCTTACCTCCATCTCCATACATTCTTTCGCGAGCCTCATTCTTACCACCCCCCACCGCACACACACACTCCTCGGTGCCTACATCACTACCGCTATCGATCGCATTCTACCCTTTTCACCATGGGTGTTATTAAGAAGAAGGCCGCTAACCCGGGCCGTGTCGAGCCTGGCGTGCGTTACCATTGTGACGTTTGCAACGGCGACATCACCTTTACTGTTAGTAGCTCTAAACCTAATACAGTGCTAACATTGTCGCAAATCTTCCTCGATAATATAGCCGTTTCTTCGTGTACTTACACGAGTATCTAGGTTCGCATACGCTGCGCTTCCAACGTTTGCACTGATTACGACCTCTGTGTACCATGTTTCACCTCTTGTGCCTTTAGTGGTAACCACAACCCGGCAAGCCACCCATATCAGGTTATCGAACAGCACTCCTACCCTATCTTCGCAGAGGACTGGGGAGCAGATGAGGAGCTTTTACTGCTCGAAGGAGCGGAAACTTACGGGCTTGGGTCATGGGCGGATATTGCGGATCACATCGGAGGTGGCCGGGATAAAGAAGAGGTCAAGCAGCATTACCTAGAGACCTATATCAACTCGCCCAAGTTCCCATTACCTCAGCATGCCGACCCGGCCGACACGACTTATGGCAGCGTTAGCAGGGAAGAATTCCAAGCACGAAAAAAGCGCCGGATTGATTTGAGAAAGAAGGAAGCTTCCGAGAGTGCGCCGACTGTTCCTAAGAAGAAGCCGACTACATCACAGCCTGCCTGTCATGAAATTCAAGGGTATATGCCCGGTCGAATGGAATTCGAGGCAGAGTGGGAGAATGAAGCGGAAATGGCCGTTAAGGATCTGTTCTTTGAACCTGGCGAGGGGATTAATCCAATTACCAACCTACTTGAGCCGGAGGTTGAACTTAAGTTGGCAGTAATGGATATTTACAACAACAAGCTTACACAACGCGCTCAACGTAAGAGAGTTATGTATGAGCATAATTTGTTGGACTATAGAAAGAACTCTGCCAACGAGAAGAAGAAGCTGAAGGAGGAACGTGAACTTTTAAACAAGGCTAAACCCTTTGCTCGGATAATGAATAGGCGGGATTTTGATGAATTCTCCGAGGGGCTCGTGAACGAGCAGCTGCTCAGGCAAGCGATTTCTCAGCTTCAGGAGTGGAGAAGAATGGGAATTGAGTCGTTGGAAGCGGGGCCGAAATATGAGATGGAGAAAGCGCAGAGGGTGAGTTCCTCATTCATTTAGTGCTTCCTACAGGGAGGTGGCTAATGTGTTGCTCTACAGAGTGAGGTTCTTCGGAACAAACTTGCTCCACTGGATCGCTTGGCTCATAGATATGCCTCGAAAGCTACTCCCCCTGTGGAAACGCCGCCGGTTAATCCATTGGTAGCGCCAAAGGCCCATTTGACATCAGCGCCACAGGACCTAGCTGCGTTGTCGCCAACACCAGCCAATAATGTTCCAACTTCGCCCTCTCCCATGATGATGAATGGATTAGTGAAGAAGAATATTGCGAACGGTTTAAATGGCACGAACAATATTAATGGTGCTGGCAGTGGTGCGGTAAACCCACCTTCGTACCCGCCGTTGCACTTATCGAATGAGAACGCGGCAGATCTTCACCTCCTTACGTCTGCGGAGCAGCAGCTGTGTGAGACTTTGAGGATAAAACCGAAGCCATATCTCTGCATGAAGGAGGTATTGATGAAAGAGGCTATGAAACATGGTGGCATACTCAAGAAGAAGGCTGCTAGAGATCTTTGCCGCGTAAGCGCCTGCATATACAATGACGCTGATAGTGGTGGCGGGCTGACCCCATGGCAGATTGATGTTAATAAAGTATCCAAGATTCATGACTTTTTCGTCTCTGCCGGGTGGATAGGCAAGGCCTAGCCACTGTATCGACAAAACGGGAGTGGCACGAATAAGACGATTTCGTTGCCTTAGATTCCATATCTTCCTTGCGATTTACATTGTAACCTAAGCTTTTTCTTCTAAAGCCTGGTGGGTTACTGTGTGGGACATGGGGGGCAAATTTGCAATATGGGGACCCAAGCGCTCTAGTAATGCTTACATCCTTTTTTCGTTATTCTCTTCGATGCGATAATGGGTCTGGACGGCTGGACGGATGGTTACCTTTTAAATTCATTTCCTCTCTTCGTCTTGTTTAAAGCTATCTTAACTTCTACATAAACCTCTTTAAACCATGTATACAGTTTTTATTTCCCCTCCCCTCTTTTTCCTTCCCCCCTCTTTTCTTTCTGGGTGGCATTGTTTATGGTCTTTCCTTTCTCTTCCTTATTTTATCACTGCTGCCTGGCTAACTTACTGAAAGTATGCCGTGTCCAGCAGGTTTGGGTGATGGGCGAAGGGGAGTTGGCTTTTTGTCTTTTTACATAGTTGGAGTTTAGTTGTGTTTGAACCCTTTTCCTTTTCATTTTTTTTATGGCATCAAGCAATGGCTGTTGGATGGTTTCGACCTGGACTGGAGTTACTATTACATCTCATTCTAGGGGGTACGGTTCCAGATGTTTCAAGCGTCATAGGTAAATGCCCAGTAAAATAAAACGATGCAGTGTGGTAACTACCAGTAGTCCCATGGATACTGACAAGAAGTGCACAAAATATAAGCTGCAAACACATTCACCTCTGATATTACCATCCCGTGCGAAGCTACCCAGGTCTCCGAGAGGTCGCGATCTCGGGAAATTCCGTCTTGGCATCACCTTTCCTCTATGATACCAAACAATTTTCAGCCTCAAACGGGAACTCATCCAAGTTCACCAACCTTAGAATAGGCTCACATCGGCCACATTTCCTCCCCTCGACCTCGACCTCGACCCCTCTCCCTATTCTCACGAGCTGCAAACGCAAGCACAAACCATGTGGAGGCCGGGCCAATGGTCCACGCCAACTGGCAACACCCCCACGAACTCCCCCCCTCCTGGCAACCTTCCGCATCACCACCAACAAAACCCCCTCTTTAGCAACAGACCATACAGTCCCAGTCCTCTACCTGGGGGTATCGGGGCCAGTGGCCGAAGACCGCAGCTCACGCCTCGAGCATCGTTACCGAGTCTTGCCTCCGGCCCCGGCTCTTCCACAACGGGTTTACCCGCCTCGTCGCGCGGTCAACATGGCGTTGGTAGTGGTGGGGTGGGTCGGAGGGTTGTCTCTGGGGGGCCCCCGCCAACCGGGGTACGGCATCCCCTGGATGTTCTAGAGGAGATTCTAGGTGTGCAGGTTAAACCTTTGGTTGAAGAGGAGGGATGTGTGGATGGGAATGGGGCTGCATGGGAGCCGGGGGTAGAGGATGCGGAAGGGATTGAATTTGGAGAAGGGGGTTTGGAGGAGTTTCTGAAGTGTGAGGAGGGAAGAGAGGTTCAGGCAAGAGAGATTAAGAGCAGGGCTAGGGCTTATAGTGCTCATTCTGTCGATGAATGTTGGTTTTTACCCCCAAATTGGATTGGGTTGGATTGGGGGAAGGTGCAGAGGCTAAGGGTGAAATAATAGATGAGAGAGAGAAGGGTAAGTTTCAGGATTTGCATCGGTCGATCAAAGCTTGCGATGAGGTGCTCAAGTCTGTGGAGTCGTATTTGTATTCTTTTCAGACGGATTTGGGGGTTGTTAGTGCGGAGATTGAAACGTTGCAGAATCGGTCGACCATGTTGAATAAGAGGCTTGAGAACCGGAGGGTGGGTTCTTTATTTCTTTTAAGGGGGAAGGCTTGAGCTAATTGCGGGGACTATAGGGTGTTGAGAAGCTTCTTGGGCCTGTGGTTGAAGATGTTGCGTTGTCGCCGAATGTTGTCAAGAGGATTATTGATGGGGATGTCAATGACAGTTGGGTTAGGAGTTTACAGGAGGTGGATGTCAAAATGAAGGCTATTGCTGCGCTGGATGCTACGAAAGTCAAAGCTACTAAGGACGTTAAGCCTGAGCTGGAGCGTCTTGAGCACAAGGTACTTTTCTGTCTATTTTTCGGAGATGAGTGCTGATTTGCGAGTTAGGCAATAGAGAGGGTTAGGGATTTCTTTGTCGCGAGGATTAAGGCTATTAGAGTTCCTGGTGCCAATGCTCAGGCTATACAGCAGTCCGGATTTCTGAGGTACAAAGCGTTATTCCAGTTTATGGCCAATCACCATGTTCAATTGGCCGATGAGATTGGTCAGGCTTATATCAATACGATGAGATGGTATTACCTGAGCCATTTCACACGGTATCATAAGTCCCTCGAGAAATTAAAGCTTCATGTGATGGACAAGCACGATGTTGTAGGCCAAGTGGAACCCACAAGGAGGAGTGTGTCTCCCATTCATCCCATATTGAAGACCCCCAACTAATGATCTAGACAACATCATTCCATCTCTTAAATCCTCTGCGCCCCTTTCCTACGACACATTCAATATCGGCCGACGGATAGACACTCTAAAAAACCGTACAGCACCAATACTAACCGCAAATCAGGCCGAAGAAGACCGCACATCCCACTACCCTGAAATCCCGTTCCGCCATTTCAATGTCGCCCTCACAGAAAACGCCTCAGCAGAATACTCCTTCATAACCGAATTCTTCTCACACAAAACCTACGACCAAGCCTCGATAATGTTCCACCAAATCTTCGACCCAACCTTCATCCTCGGCCAGACCTTCACAAAGTCCTTGATAGACTCCACCCTCGATTGCCTCGGCGTTCTACTCTGCGTGAGACTAAACCAATACTCCGCCTTCGAGATGCAAAAGCGCAGAATACCCGCTGCAGATGCGTACATCAACGCAACGAACATGCTCCTCTGGCCACGGTTCCAAATAATCATGGACGCGCACTGCGAGTCCCTTCGTCGTACCACCACTTCAAACCCCGGCCGTGGCGGTGTCGGCGGTGTGGGTGGGGGATTATCTGTTAAGCAGCAGAGTACAGCACCGCACTTCCTCACGCAGCGATTTGCCGGCTTTATGAATGCGATACTTACACTTAGCGCTGAAGCGGGGGATGATGAACCTGTCGCGAATAGTCTCGGTAGGCTAAGGAGTGATTTTGAAGCGTTTCTGACGAAGTTGAGTGCTGCGGTTACCGACGCTAAGAAGAGGGAGAGATTTTTGTTTAATAATTATTCCTTGGTATTGGCTGTTATTGGGGTTTGTCATTTTTTCCCTCCCTATTTTCTTTTCTTTTTTTGTTTGCGTGGTTGACCGGCTCACTGGCTGACTTGTGAGGCCTTCTGGATAGGATACTGAAGGAAAAATGGCTTCAGAGCAGAAGACGCATTTCGAGATGTTGAAGAAGGCGTTTGGGAGTGGTGGGAGTTAAAGATTGGAGTTTGTGAGCGATGGGTTGTGTTCCGATTGGATTATTTACTATGAAGCGAACGTTAAAAAGGTTTGTGGGGTGATTGGCTGGCTAGTGGGAGGCTGGAGCAGCGGGCGTTCGTTATTCGCCTTTGTAAGATCCTATACTTTTGTGTTTTGAGCGGTTCATTGGAGATAATACCGTTGAATTAAACCTTTCGGCTTATTTTATTTTTCTTTTCGTCAAAGTGAAATCGCCGAGGGCTAGTTATATTCATCGACCATCACTCGGCTGATTGCTGACACTCTGTGCGCGTGTTACAAATCCACCAAACTTGGGATTTACCCTGGACCCAACAAATAGGTCCATGGTTTTAACTCGTGGTTTGGCTCTAGGTATCCTTGCAGATCAGAACCTGGTGTGCTAAAATAAGCCTTGAGTTCTGAGGGAGGTATTGATATCATGAGATTCTGGGAGTGTCCTTTATGTATGACCTCTGCCCTATCTGCCTCCCGGTGGACTACTTCCTGCCTTCCTCCCTTCCTCGAGTGATAACTACTGTATTGGCGATATATGGTACTTGGACTGCTGGTATCGTAGCTAGATCTAAGTTAAGTTTCCCGGTGCCATGCAATTGACTGCTGGTTTGCAACATTATTAGGCAATGATCTTGTTCGTTAGGGTCATCCTGACAAAAAATGACCCCCCTTTTTGCGTGGGGGTTCTATTACTTTTTGGAGTTGTATGGTATCGTATGGTATCATACCATGAATAATAATAATTATCTTACTAGATGTTTGACGTGGCCGGCGTGCTGGTATTGTAACTGGAGGGCGGCGAGTGATCGTGATGTGTCTTAGCGATCGTGACCTCCACTGCGCCCTTTTACCACTATGATTAGACCTAATTGCCACCCATCTATAGGTTCTCCGTGCCAAGAAGATATATGATACTAACTGTTCTAAGTACCTATAACCTATAACCTATATTTCCTTCACTAGCAGGAACTATCCCTCAATTTGGCTCATTGTTATGCTTCGTCTCTAAAAGGTCTCCCTACCAACAGTCTCACTTCAGACCTGCCACCACACACTTCGCACTTACCTTACTAGAACCTTCAACTTAATTCCCAACCAACTCACTCAATTTAAAGGTAATCTCACATCCAATTAATAAACAAGGTTTTAACTATTAGAACTGGAACTAGCCAAAATGCTCCTTCTCAAGCACCTTATACTTCAAGTTCTAATCTTGATAATCCTATCAGCAAATATCAACTGCTCTCCTGTCAACTCCCCTTCCGATAAAGACTCCTGCGACACAGGAGACGAAGTCGATAACGCCACTCCCAACTCCGGAAACCCCAACATCCTCAATAAAGCTCAATTTGAGACCTCAGGCCTGACTCTTATCACACCGAATCCTCCTCCTTCTGACAACTCGTACGGCCGAATCGTTTGCGAAACCTCAAATGCCAGCCCATTTGTATGGAACTCTCGTCGTCTCGCATACTGGCTTTTCGGCAACTTTGGAGGCTGGTATTGCTGTAATTGGAACGTCAATGGCGGGGGCTGCTCACTTGTCATGAAGATTGCCGATGCCAGTACGGCCATTTGTGGGGCGCAAGGATGCATCAAATGTGATGATTTGGCGTGGGATATCGTCAGGATTGGGAGTGACTGTCTGAGGAATGATAGGGCTGGCGGCGTCTCGTACCTTGACCAGGGAAGTCATATTGTTGTTTACTAGTCAGTTGGTTCAATTGAATGGTTGATTAACTAAATTATTTATTGGCCCGTTTCCTCCTGTAGATTGGGAGAGGTTTGTTGAATGTATGGTACTAGTGCTGATGGGTTTTCTTCGGGTGTGGATGGCGTGAACGGCAGTGCGCGAGAGAGTGTCCGAGACGGACCGGAATCTTGGTGTATGTTTAGAGCTGCTAGAGGACTGCTGGGCTCTGCCGTCACCCTCTTAGACAGGTGCCTATGGGGGGACGGACATTTTTGCCCAGCGCTTTGAGACACCATGCCCTGGGCGAGGGCGCTTGGGGATCACTGGCTGTAGGACTTTGGATATCAAATTCAGTCTTCCAGATCCTAGCTGTTATTTGGATAATAGCTATGTATTGAGAAAACATATTGTGTAACCTCACTCTTACTATACAATCATCCCTCGATTTGTATTCACTGAAGCAATGCTTAGACCCAATTATACCTAAAAGGTCAGCAACAATACTCATGCTAGTATAGTACCAATTGGACCAAATTCCCTTCAAGCGATCTCAAGGCCAGAAGTATTTATTCGGTGGTTGACCGAAGCCGGAATGGCACTATCTGGCATTGTGTTTCTAGGATCACTTCAGTCTCACTAAAATTCCACGAAATCCGGAACCCAAACGAAGGGACAATAGCCATAGTTACATAGAGCATTGTTCCCTATTTAGAAACATATAGAGAATCTCTCGCCAAAGGCACCCAAGAACAAGAGGAAATCCATTTTAGATCCTCCCCCACACTCCGGGCTAACAGACTGACACCTTTCCAACCGAGATCTGGGAGTTACCTTTAGCGGGATAAGGAATCATTCTCAAGGTAGCATTGCGCGGAATATAGTACCTAGCTGGCGCAGTGGCTAAGATGTCAAGAGCAAATTACCCCATATCGCAATTATCAGCGGCCTAGGAGTCCAATTCACGCTTCCAATGAGTCACTGTCGAACGACCTATCATGTAGGGTATCATAGGGGGATTGGAACATCCTGTTCTATGGGGACTGGGAGATTTGGGACCTTAGCTTTCCGCGATAAGGTTATGGTGCTTATTGATGTTTCTGTGAGGTTTTGGAACCAGACTCTAGATATGCACATAGGAGTGAGGTTGGCGATCGCCGGGGTAGGAGAGAAAAACTTTAGAAATTCCGGCCATCATTTGCTCTAGCGAGCTGCGCTCTCCCCATTTATCAATCACCTTATAGACTTAATTTTTTCCCCACCAAAAGCGGGTATAGATAGCGTTTGGTGAAACACATAAGATCCTTGTGATACTGCAATCGCAGAAAACCTCGAGTTTCTACTCGATCGGAGAACAGAACCCAGCGCAGAGATACTCTATTTATTCAGCTGATACGGCGCCGGTATACACTGTATGTGCTAAAGGTATCGCCGGTTGCACGCCGTGAAGATCCCGCGGATCAAGGTACTATATCTCTCCCACTACTTCAAGTATGGTGAACTAATCTACGATATTATCATACCCTGAAGGAAACGCACCGAGTGATATCTCGTGTAGATGTGACATTTAGCCAATCGACTTTGACCATTCACTCAACCGCCCCCATACAGCACTGGGGAACTCTACCAGGATAAATATCCGTGTAAGGTTCGGGCGGTGAATCGATGTCGCCCTTTATACAGCTAGGCTGGGTTTAGACAAGAATAAATAAATAGGGGATTTTGAACTTGCTTATTGTGGGGGTTCTCGTTTGGTGCTTTCCCGTGTTATTTGTGCGTAATATGATGGGTTGCATCTGGCGGGTGAATTGATATTCGAGTATCATATCATACTCGCTACCATGGTTGGCCATCGCCCTGCTCCTCCCCATCCCACTTGGTGTCGGATTGCCTACATGTGACACCCCACTTGCTGGGGTTTTTATTGGGATTTTGGAACCGGGGTTTCGCGGCCGGATTGTAACGTATGGTGGGTTTTGGTCTCGCGTGGTGGTCCCCTGGGATGGGTCTGACACAGTAAGGTACTTGTGTTGTGCTATGTATTAACGTGCGGGTTCTGTCCGGTGCCCGCATGCCAAAGTTTAGGGTCGATCCTGAGTTTGAATGAAGTTGGCGCAGGTTCCTCTGAGGAAATATGAGTGCTCATTATATTATGTTTATAGTTGTGAGAATAATGATATTATGAGGAGTTTCATTTACTCAGGGAATTACCTAACCTCCACTTTTGGTTGAAAGAAATTTACATCCAAGACCAGGCGCGTTTCTTGATCTCCGGAGTCCTGGCCTATATAAAAAATATCTCGTCCTCTCCACTTTATCATTTTTAGTCATTAAATTAACCTACTAACATTATGGCATCCTGATATGGGTTGTTGACACCGCTATCCCATATTCCATTCCGCACAGGACTCACGTTTCACGTTTTGTAATGATTCACTCGAAATTCCCCTTTAAACACTTCATCCTCATCACTGCCAGGAGCTACAGTGTAATGAGTAGTGTGCTTGTAAAACATTAGTCTGCGGAATCACAAATTGCACAAGGGACGACCCGCAGTGTTGAGTATGAAAAAAATAAAACAAGTTCCAGTAAGGGAATTGCTAAGAATTTCTTTTACAGTCTCCCATCGGGCTTCTGAGTCCAGGCATCACTTCCCACGGCCGTAAGGGCATAGAAGATGCCAGCAGGATCGTACTTATTCTTGATGGAAAGGAGTCTGCTATAGTTTTCCCCATAGAATTCGCGTTGGAAATTAGGCTCGTTGGCATCAGCTTCGTTGAGATAGGCGCCCGATTCGGGTGCCAACTCGCGTAGCTGCCTGCCCCAGTTGTTGGTGATGGTGTCTTGATCTTTGAGGATCTGAGACCATTCTGCCGTGCCATTCCATGAGTTGGGGATTTCATATTAGTTTCTAGTTTTTTTTTTAAGGAAAGAGGCAAGGAGGTGTTAAGGAAAGGAAGTGCTAACGAAGTGGTAATAATAAGAATTTCATTATCGCGCCAAGTAGGGAGGACGGCGTTATCTGGGTTTCCGGCAACCTTCAAGCTGGGGTGGCCTGCTATCTCAATAGCCATGGCTCCATCCTCAATGACATACTTGACAACTTTATTGAACTGGGCCCTCTTGTTGAGGATAGTGTCTCTCGGTATCATGCGACCACCATTCTGGAAAGTCCCTATAGGTATGGTCTCGGGCGTGGAGCCATAGGCGGCAGAATAGGAGGGGAACTCGGTGATGTTGAGGGAGTGTTGCAAACCAAGGGAGTCAAGCTTCTGGATAAATGGCTGGAAAAGGGTAGCAGTGTTATGCTTGGTCCATCCAGGGCCGAAAAATGAGCCGGAAGTGGGGAATCCCTTAGAGTAGAGGTTGATACTGAAGCCGCCGCGATCAGTGTATTTGGGGGCCATTTGGTGGAGAAAGTCAAGAGCGTCGTAGAATTTAACCATTGAAGTATCGTCAGTGCCGCCAGCCCTGAAGGAATATCGTGCGACGGTGATGGGGATATCTTTGTGAGCCTTGACGATCACGGAGGTAACAACACCATAGGCACCTCCACCACCACCGCCGAGGGCCCAATACAAGTCCCTGTTCTCGGTCATGCTTGCCTTGACATGTTTGCCCTCTCCGGTCACGACCTCGAACTCGAGAGTCTGATCAGCCGCGAGACCATACTTGCTCATCAATATTGAACGGCCACCACCTTGTATGTATCCACCGGCAATACCGACTGAAGGGCAAAAACCTCCAACAACAACGACACCGTTCTCGTTTGCAGCTGCATACGCCTCGGAACCCTGGACCCCAGCGCCAAGTTTGAGCGCTGGCCCATAATAGGCCTCTGATTTGTAATCAGGGATGTATTTGATATCCTTAAGGTGGTGGGTCCAGAGAGACAGTGACCCAGGTCCAGAGGATTTACCAAGGTAACTATGTGAAGCGATCCAATTAGCCCAGATCCCATATAGCTAACTAGACCAGGAAGGACATGCTTACTCATGACCTGTATTCCGGATGACCAGGCGAACATTATTCTTCCCGGCGAATTTGATACCAGCAATAATGTCGGCCGGCTCAGTGACGTTGATGGCATAACGAACATAAGCACCAACCTGACAAGGACTGTCAATAGAAGTGAAAGGATCGCAACTTCTAGAAACTGTGGAATTCAATCGACTCCATTTCTGTGTTGACGGCCAGCAAGCGTCTCCTGGGAAACAACGGCAATCAGGAGTAGACGCGGCGGCTCCCGTGGCTTCCGCACTCCGGCCCGATGTTTGTGCAACAGCATATAAAGCGAAAACGCCCAAAAGATTGGAGAGAGAAGTCCGCATGGTGAGAACCTTCCTGCTAAAGGAAAAGGGAAATTAATGAGAGGCACCTTTTTCTAATGGGTGGGTTTTCTCAGGTGGAAGCTGGAGGAGGTACCCTTTCTGCCTCGAAGGAGGGAGGGGCCCAAATAACCCCCCACCAAATCCCTGCCCACTGAATCCCTTCCTAATGGTATGATATCATACCGCAAATGGTGTCGACCTGGAGCCTCACTTCAGCCATGCAAACGAACAAATATGGGGGGCGCACTCTGTCGGTGATGATACTTTCTTCAAATCGAAAAATGAGGCACCCCAGTACTACTTGAGTATACATATACCCATGCCAATAATACTACTAGTATCATATCCCAAAACGGTATGGAGCAAGAGTTGAAAAGGTGTATTCGTATCATACCTGAGCCGTTGCATTGCGAATGCCTCTATTTGGTAAGATAAAGGGTTGTTATTACTAGTTTCACCTCAGTAATATTTTATACGTAGAATTGGCCTTGGAATTTGTATAAAAATAAAAACTATTAAATTTTTAAAGTTCACTCGTAAATTATTCTTTGAACGAAATAAAAAACTAAAGAAATACCCATTTTACATCATGAAATGAATCCAGAATCTTCTACATGTTGTAATAGTCCTGGTGTTTTCCCTTTACTCTGGCAGATGGGGGCATTCCACAACACAATTGCTCAGGTATGATAATATGATACACCTTTTAAACGCTTTGCGCCGTGCCGGTACGGTAGTTGATACGGAAAGGGAGCAGAAATTCGGAAGAAAAGGGGTTCAGAGCACTCGATTAGTAATCGCCAATGACTTGGCAACCTTGTGATCTAGAATAGGGAAGTCAATTTAACTCCACTAGAACTTCGATCCTATGTGTTTTATCTTTTGTTTTCCCCTTACCGCATTCATCTTTAGTTTTTGTCTTAACACCCACGTTTCATAAAGATGCGTGTGCGGGGGTGATTGAGCGATGGGTATGATAAGACTCTCAGAGCGAGAGTTTGGGGGTGGAAGCTACTGCAATGGCTTGAAGGCATGGAGAAGGTTTGGCTCCAATGTCTTGGCAGTGACTTCAAGAACAGAGGTTTGCTCCCGATTCTATGGTGGGGTATAGTATCATATCGTACGGTTTTTATGAAGAAAAAGCCCCCTGCTTCCGAGTGGGTGGGTTGCTCGGTCATGCAAGGTCACTCGCTGGGAAGTAGGGTACGGACGGCATATTTACATTGCGCACGATACGATACCGTACCGTACCATATACGTAAACTATCGTAAACTTATCAGACCCCACTAGCCCGGTCACTAAAAGTATGTGCAGAAGACTTGGGAAGAGAAAGCAGAGGGTGGACTGTAGGGGGAGAGGGGGCTACTCAAGGAATACACAGCGAGCTTGGCCCCCGATCCCAGAGAAGGACACGTGCCGCAAGAATCCGAACGGTTGAACCTCGTGCCAGGATGTTGGAGTTACCTTTTCTGATATGATAAATTATGTATAGTATGATAATATTATTATATGACAAGGTCCGGCACTTTTTTTTCCTTCGTGCTAGAGCATAGGGGGTTGGTTTACTCAAATAGAACTGCTTTCGCCCCCCCCCCACCATCTAAGAGAGGGAATTTTGAACGTCTCAACAAAAATCCAATGGATCGAATTCTTGCTGTATAATAGTTTCCTAACATCAGAAGCTTTAGTGAAAAAGGCCGTCTACCTATACATTCGCAACCGTAAAGTTCTCATATCCTTCCTTGTATGGTATCATACATCCCGTAAAATATCGTGAAGTTAATTATTTCTAGCAGCCTTGTAACCCCCGGGTTCTGAACCAAGGACTCCCGGGGGGGATTAGAGTTATCCCATCTTATAGTAGGGGGGGGGGGGATAGAAGGGGATATAAAAATTCCCGTTTAGATATTTACTTTTGTCTTTTCCTTCTGCTACCCCGGCGATCGCAGATTCGACCACCTCACAGCAGGTCTGATGTGCCCTACAGCCTTATTGAGGAGGGCAAAGGGTCTCCAGTCTCCCAGTTCCCATAGGGCAGGATTCGTTAATTCTCCTGACCTACGTGATGGATCGTTCAATGATAACCCATTTGCGAGGGAGAATTAAACTCCTGGGCTCCTGCTAAGTGCGCAGGGGATAAATGATTCTTGACATATTAACCACTACGTCGGCTAGGCATTTCGCATAGCAGTACCATGGGAACTAATACTTATTCTACCAGTAGGTTGACTTAGATTTTTCTGTCCGAGCTGAAGGACAATAGCTTGCACCATGCCCACCGTTATATAATTTTTTCAGGAGGATATAGATTCTAGATAAATTGAAATTATAGATATTGATCATTAGTTGGTAACAGCAACGTTCAGTTATATTTACAGGAACGACCATAGTTGGAATCTCAAATATGAACGAAGGAATGTTTGGCCAAGAGTAAGGAGGTATTTGGACAGTACTGCAATGCTCCTGACTTATGATGATCCCATTCAGGGAATTATGCCTAACTTTATGGTCAGATATTACAAGTACTTTCCGGGGGTGGCAGGTGCGGGGCCAGGTTCAGCAGTAGCTACTTAAATTGCCTTGCCCGATAAGCAGGATCTCATGTGATATTGTTAAAAATGCTAATGGTAATCGCTTACTAGAATGAAGGTTTTCTTCTAAAAATTTCTTATCTAGTTCTTGGTGACGGGCATTGAGTGATGCGCTCATTCTCACTTGATACCAGACTGCCATATGCTATCCTCTAACACTGCTGGAGCACTATTAGCATCTCCATATCCTCTTATTTAAGGGGAAAAGGCAGCTGGCCCAACAGATACCACCACATCGCGCTCATGACATAACAAATACTATACACAAGCATCAAACCCCTACTGAACTAAACCATTAGACTCTGCCGTCCATTCTATGAAAATTCCCCTCCGTCAGAGCCACAGGCACACAGCATGCTTCTTTTAATTTTAATTTATGGTATCATAGTAGTATTAGTCTGTTGGTTGTTTTGGGTCTTTTATTTTTTATTTTGCTCGGGGTACTGTGACCACAATAAGTTACTTGCGAAACCAGCAGAGGCTCTCTAAATTTTCAAATTCTAGGAGCGCTAGGTATGCTACGGAGATGCGCAGTGCGTCTATGGGAAAATGATAAAAAGTCGCTCGTATTTTTTCCTGGCAAAAGAAAAGAAAAAAAAGAGAAGCATTTGCTCCCCAACTATAGAATTAATGCAAAGGTAGAAGTCTCATGAAAGTCTCAAAACCCAATTTCTTCATGACCCTCACCTTTAAATCAGTTAGGTTTTTTGGGTACTTTGTATCTGCGTAAATTCTCAGTGTATTTCATAGCTGCGCAAACGAGTTCCGCTGTCGGGTGTTGGAAAGGGGTCCGGGCTCTAATCAGTAGGCACCAAAAGGATTCATTCGAAGTATGGTAGTGAGAAAGCCCATAAATCCGGGAAACTGTGAACATATGGGCCCGAGAGACCTGTGTTGCCCTCATGCACAGCCCCGTCACTCCGCTCCGGGGGTATTTCCTTCAATGGAAAGCGAGTGTGCAAAGCAGAGTTGAAGCAACTAAAAGGACAAGAAGCGCGGAAACTCACCGCACACCCACGGCCGGCCAATGCTACCTGACTGCAATTCTTCCTTCTGTGGCCGGTACAATACTGAGCCCCCCAGGATGTCTGCATGGGTCTTGATTCAATGCACTAGTACTGAGAAGCACGGAAGACAGCCGGGGACACGTTGGTAAATTTATCAAGATATATCATTTAGGTTACCATGCTCGTCATTGCAGTGCTGAGCTGCCTGATGGGAACGCCCTGCCATGCCTCGCCGACGAGTAGGTACAGTCAGGATATCATAATAATATTATCATCATAATATCATATTTTGGATTGACCAGCCTTCCTTGGTGGTTAGGGCGCATGTGCTACTTGTGTGTGGGCTTTCAGGCCCGCCACTTAGCCCAGACACCTTGACCTCTGTTCTCCTGGTTATACGTTCTAATTCTGTGCGGTAAAGAGCAACGTTGATACCACCCCTTGGCGTAGACAAATGAATGCTCGTCCAATAGATCGTGCCATCATCGTAGGGCTATCGACTGACCAGAGTAAATTTGCCAACGTTCGGGATAGCATTGCTTGGGATCAACTATCCTCTCAAACCAATCCCAAAGTAAAGAGTACCGAAGCTAGACACAATAAAGGCAGTTAGTGGTGATGGAAGTGGAATGTCTGATACTTGAATAATAATAAACTCTCTTTCCTCTCACCTTTTCCCTTTCTTCTGATTGTATAATGCAGTATTCTCCCATAGAGCTATGATACTGCGTATCATACTAGTATTTGTATTCTTTGGCCTTAAATCCCAGGCCACAATACACTTACAGGAGGGTTTTCCGCCTCTCTTTGTCCATCAGATTTTGAACATAATAATTTTAATTCTAAAGTACTTGTAATACTGGTATTAAATAATGGGTTGCAATTGCTCCATATTCCACCGCTGACACCCCGGGTAGTTAGAGCCCCACGAGACTACGCTATTTGTGTAAGCAAACCCCCATAGTATCATAGGTGGAATATTTTCCTAACATGCTAACATAGTACTCTAGGCTCCCAGCAGTGCTTCAAAGTCGGCTCGTCTTCTGAGTTTTCATGCCCAAAGAGTCTAGATAAGAAAATCTGTACAATCTGACTGGTCGATAGAACTCTCGTGGGCATGCACCTATCCGAGGTTCTACGGGTATCTGCAGCCTATATCTGCAGACTCATGTTGCTCATGCTTTCTCTAGGAGAGGTTAAGTATTATACAAGAGACTGTAACTCTCAAGGATAACTCATCTTGAGCCTAGAGTGCATACCATATCAACAAATAATCAACAGTTTCTAGGATAGGCACCAGTACAAGAATCTCACATTGGAAACTTGTACTAGACGCCGGTGCCTTCATAGCTAGAACTCGAGAAGGCAGCTCCAGTGTGGATCACCTACCGGTACTATCCT